AATACAAAAAACAAAAAAAAAAAAAAAAAAAAAAAAAAGAAAAAAAAAGAAAATTAAAAAGAAAACAAAGAAACTAAAAGCATAATGAACAGGGACTTTCAAGCTTCAGAGCTATGAGTCTCCCCTGGGGGGTTGTTAAGCAGATTTTGGAGCCCCATCCCCAGGGTTTCAGACTTGGTAAGTTTGAGGAAGGGCCAGACCTTGTATTTTTAACACGTTTCACAAGTGCTAAGTAAGGCTGATAGGGAGCACACGGCCTTAGAAAATCACATTGTTTTGCTTCTTTAAAGTGAGTGAGCCTGCACACACCCTTGCTAATTTCCTGGTAATGTAAGGGCTAAAACCTGGATGCTTCAGCCTTTTTTCCCCAGCTAGCTGCGGACAGTTGCAGAGTTCTGGAAATGAGCACCAGGCCAAATGAAGGGTTGGGCACACACTTGCAGTAGAAGGGCCTGAGCACCAGCGACACCCAGTTCTAAAGTTTCAGCTTCGTACCTTACACTGGATTGTTGGTGCTTTCGAGATCAAGTTCAAAGCTTTGCAGTTCCAAGTTTAAGCTTCTGAAGCCTTTGACGATCTGCTTCTACTAATTCTCAGTTCCATCTCACTATTCCACCCAAAAGCTGTCCTGCAGTTGTTGGGATTAAAGAAGGAAGGCCCTAAACCTATCTTGTTTCATCCCTTCTGTGGATGAAACATCCTTTTCCTGTGCCCTGCCTTCCTTCTTAACCTTTAACCTTGGCTTAGAGGTAACTCCTGCCCCATACCCTATAACACAGAGACCTGCCCCAGCCCCCCTGAAGGAGGAAAAGTTTCCTCCTTGTCACCATCACCCCGAGTTTATCTTGTGGCAGCACTCACCCTACAATTGCTCACAGATTTCACAGGGCACTGTGAACCCATCTGGGGACTGCATTCAAAGTGATCTGAATGCTATCATCAATGACAGCAAAGGAGTTTTCTGTATTTTGGATTAGTCATAACCATGCAGGTGATCACGAACAAACCCAGAAGTGGTTAATTTTACTAACAGCTCCAGAAAGAAGACTATTTTGTGGGCACAAACCTCTTTAGGAGAAAGAATAGAAATGTAGTCTTCATATATTATCCTTGCTTTTTCTTCAATAATGTTTTTATTAGCTTCCTTTTTCAATTCCTCACAGGCCATCCAGAAAAGCATATTTTCTTCACTGAATTCTGTGCGGAGAAATTCCCGGAAAGCATTTCTTCCTGCAGGAGTAACCATTAAGTTGTCGAAAGACTGAGCCCAGGCGTTGACCTCTTCCAGAGTAGGGTTTGGGCTGAGGGGAAGCCAAAAGAAAGAAGGTAAGAGGGAGCTATTTATTGGTAGTTCATTAGAATTTCATTACTAGTAATATCACCTTTCCCTCTCCGACAATGAAAAAAAAAAAAAAGGACGGATTTGGTCCTTTTAGGCACGGAAAGGTCTCTTTTCATCTCCTTAAGCCTTTGCCAAAATCATATTTGAGATGCTTTCTAATTGTTTGGCTGGATTTTGTGGCCAAAATGCTTGCAAACCAAGTTCTTAGAATAACTGCTATGACTATACTTGTTTACATCTAGACAGATCTTGGCAATGTTTTTAAACTATAGAAGTAAAAAAAATCTTACAGTAACCTGACCCAGATTCCTTAATTATCTATGACAGAACCAAGACTTAATACTGAACCTGAACAGCAAGGGGCAAGATCTATTTAATACTTTTTAAAAAATGTAACATTTGAGTAAGAGTAAAGAATATATGTAAAATAACTACATTATGAATGGGAAGACAGAGTAGGTTTCTATATGAAGAGTAACAGCAAAATGAACTCTTGGGAATGAAATATTTATTGGAATATCATTTACCAAGTTGCACTTATCACTTCTGTGTGCTCCCCTCTCACACTCCATTCCAAGGGTACTGGTCCTCTTGGTTTCTGACTTATTATTTTGGGGTTTATATTTTCCTTCTATTTAAATTATAATGAGACCAGAAAGTTTAGTCTGCTTAATAGTGATCCTTGGGCTGGGGATTTAGCTCAGTGGTGCTGCTGCCTGCCTCACAAGTTTAAGGTCCCGAGTTTGATCCCTTGTACTGAAAAAAAAAGTGATTTTTAACATCTTTTTCCTTTATCTTCCCCCCACAGTTTTCATACAGTGGGGTATTCACTGTATTTCACACAGTTTTCTATATGTGTGTACCTTTGAAGAATGTATTCTTTCTGTGATTAGGGACCTTGAGCCTCAGAACTAAAAATAGATTTCTGTTGATTTAAGTTACTCAGGTTTGGGTGCTTGGTTATGGCAATTTAGCGAACTAATATAGAAGTGTATTAATTGGGTGTACTTTAGTTCTAGAACTATTCCAACCCTTTATTTCTTCCTGAGTGTATCGTATTTTAGTAGACTCCTATTTAGGAATTTGCCCAGGGTGTCTTACTGATCATCTTTGCAAGCATAACTTGTTCCTAGTGTTACCATATTATCAATCTTCACTAAATATATGTCCATTTTCCTTTCTAATATTATTTCATTGAACTTTCCTCATTTTTTTGGACCAATTCTAGCAGAGAATATATACTTCATAAGTCTTTTTTAGAGAATCAGCTTTTGCCTTTGTCTTCTTTATATCTGTTTGTTATTTTATTAGTTTTTGTGCTTACATATTAACATCTTTCTACTTTATGCTTATTAAGGGGAGCACTTAACTGAGTAATGATTAGTTGTTTGTCTTTTCTTATCAACATTTAGGGTTATGTGTTTTTCTCTACTGACTGCATTCCCTACATCCTCAGGTTGATACATAATACTTCCATGCAGATCAAAAATGTGTGTGTGTGTTTTTTTTTTTTTTTGAGACAGGATCTCACTATGTAGGTCAGGCTGGCCTCAAACTCACAGTGATCATCCTTCCTTAGCCTCCCAGGCATGGGAAACCACACCAACACATGGCTTTAACTTTATGATTTAGTCTTTGAGGAGCAACATGGAAGAGATCTTTAAAATATCAAACATGAGGATTTTTTTTATTAGAATTTAAATTTTTTTCTGACTTTGATTTTAATTGCATTGAGTCAGAAAGAACAGTTTGTTGAATAATGATCCTAAAAATATATTAATACTTTATGAGGTAATGCTTGGTCAGTCATTATAAATATTTTACATATGCTTGAGAAGAATAGGTCCTTTCAAATGGTTGGATGCCAGTTTTTATATAATTTGCCTAAGTTTTTGTTTATCTGTTTATTTAATACAGGTCTTGCTATGCAGCCCAGGCTGGTCTTGAATTCACAATGATTCCCCCTGCCTCAGCCTCCCCAGTGCTGGGATTACAGCCTTTGTACCACCAGGCCTGGCTTAAAATTTCTTTCTCTTAGAAACATCTATAACTTAGGGAAAAATGAAAAAAGTCTTTTATTATGGTAGCAGATTTGAAAATTTCTTGCTCTCATGAATTTTTTTAATATTTTGGGACTATTTTAATTAGTTATATGTAAGTTGTCATAACTTACAAGTGAACCAAACCCTTTAAATTTTAGTAGTGACCCTCTATCTATAAAGTGTTTTTAAATTTTTTTTTCTTTTGGTACCGGGGATTGAATTTGGGTCCTTGCACTTGCAAGGCAGGCCACTGAACCGCTGAGCTAAATCCCTGGCCCATGTTTTTAAATTAAAAAAAAAAAAATTTTTTTTTTTCATTTTTTTGGTACTGGGGATTGAAGTCTGGACCTTGGGCTTTTGAGGCAGGCAGGAGAACCACTGAGCTAAATCCCCGGTCCCCAAATTTTTATTTTTTGAGACAGGGTCTCACTATGTATTCCGGGGTGGTCTTGAATTCACTATGGCTGGCCTTGAATTCCTGATCCTCCTTCCTTAACCTCCCAAGTGCTGGGATTACAGACATGTGCTACCTACCACACCTGTGGCATTTAAATTTTTGTAATATTTTGTTTGAAATTAATATTGGGAAGCAGTATAGAACAGTGGACAGAAGCAGACTCTGGGGTGGACTGAATTTAGATTTGGCCACCATCTTTTGCGGAAGGCTGGCACTAGCTGGTGTGGTCCTTCCCGGGAACCAGAAAAAGGTGTTTCTTTTCTAGGCGAGACACAGCTTGCTGACAGGAATGCAGGCTGTGTAAAAAGTCACATTTGCTCCCTGGCCGGATGCTAGGGGGAAGACAGCAGTGTGCACAGATGTAGGTGTGAATCTCTGAGACCATGAATGAATTGTTGAATCTCTTTGGGACGCTGATAGTACCTACTTGGGCTGGGGATTTGGCTCAGCGTTTCTGCCACCTGCCTCACAAGGGCCCCAGTTCAATCCCCGGAACCAAAAAACAACCCCTCCCCCCACAAACTAATAGCACCTACTTTATGGAGTGGTGAAGATTCAATAAACATTTGTAAAGGTGTCAGTTTTTGGTACATGGCAAATAGTATGTATTGACTATAGTGCTATTCTAGCTATTGAAAGTCTTCCAGGAATTGCCTGGAAGACTTTCTTTTAACCCCTTTATTTTCCATGTTTGATTTGACTTTACTTGGGCTTGTCGCTGCTACCTTTTAACCTAATGTTATTCAATAGTAATTCAGTTTTGTGTTTATTTTAGCTTACCAGTATCACACTATTGTTATTTTATACCAGCAACAATTGTTTAGATCTATTTATACTTGTGTCAATTTCTTTGTTCAGCATTTCTTCTTACAATTTTTGGGATCATTTTCTTTCTTCCTGGACATTACTCTTCAGAAGTTCTTTGCACATCTGTTGGAGGTAAACTCTCTGTTTCTGTTCATCTGTAAATGTCTGTTTCTCCCTTACTCCTGAAATAGAGTTTGGCTGGATACAAAATTCTAGGTAGATGTTGTTTTTGCATAGCATCTATAATTCTATTTCTGGTTGAGAAGAATTTCAGTTGAGAAGTCTGCTTAGTCTTTTTGTATATATTTTAGGTAACTAACCTGTCTTCTCTGTGTAGCTGCTTTTCAATCTCCTTTGTTTTTGTCATTCTGCAGTTGCAGTACAATTAGATCTAGGTGTAGAGTACATTTATCTTACTGGCACATACTGTGGAACACACACACGCACGCACACACACACACACATTTCTGGAAATTCATGTCTTTCATCAGATCTGGAAATTCTTAATTATTATTTCTTTTCTTTCCATCTTTAATTGGGAACTCCAATGAGACGTTATGTCCATTGTTGTCACTCTAGCCTTCATTTTTAAAAATTAAAAAAAAATTTTTTTGGTACCGGGGATCAACCTCAGGCCTTGCACTTGCAGGGCAGGTGGAAGAACCACTGAGCCAAATCCCTGGCCCTCTAGCTTTCATTTTTTGATTTAGTTTTTATAGTTTAATCCCCCCCCATTGTCACCACACAGTCTTTTATACCTTCAGGTTCACAAGCTAGCTCTCTAGCTGTATCTAATCTTCATAGGTTTTGTTTGTATGTTTTCTTTCTTTTTTTTTTTTTGCAGTGCTTAAGACTGAATTCAGGGTTTCATGTGTGCTAGGCAAGTGCTCTAACAATGAGCTAGATCTCAGAACTTTTACCTATTTATTTCTCTTCTTTTTATTTTGAGATAAAGTCTTTTAGGTTATCCAGGCTGGCCTTGACCTCAGAAACTTGTGATACTCCTGAGTAGCTGATAACAGGCAGATACCATCTCACCAGCAGCTGTATCTAATCTTCTATTCCAATAATACAGTTAAAAATTTGAACAACAATTTTTCATTTTTAAAACTTCCTCTCTCAGCATCCTGAGAACATCATACCACATATTGCTAGCTGGGGCAAGATCCAATATGAAAATTCAAAGTATAGTTTTTACTGAATGTGTATTGTGTTCACACCATCATGAAGCTGAAAAATTAGCAAGGTGAACTACCATAAATTGGGAACCATTTGGTACTTGCCCTCTGGAAAACAATCCTGCTTTCCTATGCTTAGCAGTCATAACTCAGTGCTTGGTTTACTCTCAACTTGGTTTTGTTTTTAAAGTATTTTATCATTTTCTTTTATACAGCATTTTAGGTTTATGCATGATCTGTCATTCTGCACACCTGAGGCCTTAGGATCATCTATCTGCCATCATAAAGTGAAAGCTCTCTGATTTTGAGGGCTACAGTTTGTATATCAAGAAATGGATATGCAGACAACTTACCCTAACAACCTGAAAATTATAGAAAAATACTCACCCATATATAGGAGTTCAAAATATGAATTCCTTATCTGAGCTATACTACCCCAGTGAAAACTGATTTTTTTATTACAAAATTTTTATTTTATTTGATTTTGTTTTTATCTTAATGAAGAACATAGAAGAAATGGGCAGATTTCTAGATACGTATGAATTACCTAAGTTGCAGGAAGAAGATATAAAAATTCTAAACACCCCAATTACAATCATTGAAATTGAAAATATAATTAAAAATATAATTAAAAATTTACCAACAAAGAAAAACCCAGGTACTAATGGATTCCGTGAATTAGATTAATGAATCTATAAGACATTTAGAGAAGAACTATTGCCACTACTCTTTAAACTTTTCAATGAAATTGAAAGAGAAGCAATATTTCCAAATTCATTCATGGAAGCAAGTGTTACTTTGATTCCAAAACCAGGGAAAGACCCAACCAAAAAAGAGACCAATGCATACTTGCAGAGGCCAATCTCCATAATGAACATAGATGCAAAAATTCTCAATAAGATACTGGCAAACAGAATACAGTGGGTCGACAAGAAGATTATACACCCTGACCAAGGCCCAGCTGAACTCAAACTTGCAGCCCTTCTGCCTCAGCCTCCTGAGTACCTGTGATTACAGGCCTGTACCACCTTGTCCAGCTAATTATGGCTTATTTTTACAAAATTAATTACATCGGAGAAGCTTTAAGTTTGGTAAATTATGTCCCTTAAATATGTGGATTCAAAAGATATCTTTTTCCTGTCACTTAAATATATATTAAATGGCCAGGCATGGTGGCACATGCCTGTAATCCCAGCACTAGGGAGGCTGAGGCAAGAGGATCACTGCGAGTTCAAGACCAGCCTGGACTACATAGTGAGTTCCAGGTCAGTCTCAGCTACATAGTGAGACCTTGTCCCCCCCCCAAAAAAAATATATATATATATAAAATGGGCCAGGGATTTAGATCAGTGGTTCCACTGCCTGCCTCACAAGCAGAAGGACCCGAGTTTTATCCCTGGGACTTAAAAAAAAAAAGAACAATTTTGGAAAAGTTAAAGGTAAGGATAGTAGAATTTTTTTAAAAAGAGAGGTCATAATCTATGTTCCATGCTAGTAAAGAATCTAAAAACAAAAAGCATAGTTCATACAGCAAAAGAAAACTAAGGAAACAATTAGGAGGTATTATAAGAAGTCAGCTGCAGAATTGGCTGAAAGGTTAAACATATTAGAGATGATCAAAATGACTGATTTACTATAACTGAATCTAATGCCTCATTTAAAGGCAGATTCAAACTGGACCAAAATCTGACATAATGCTATTTTTACTGAAAAATTAAAAATGAGGGCTGGGGATTTAGTTCAGTGGTTTGGTGGCCCGGCCTTGCAAGCGCAAAGACCCGAGTTCAATCCCCAGTACCAAAAAAAAAAAAAAAGAGTCAGCAGGCAAGTTATGTGGGGTAAACACAAGTAAGTATAACAATATATAAGTCGAACTAGATGCAAACGACATTAAACTGGACAAAGGTTCACTTGATATTAATTGAATAAGACTGAGGACAAAGGACAGCATGCACTGAGTGTTTGCCTCTTGACAGGCTCTGGTCCGAGTGCCTGTGAGTACTCAGAACTCACACCAGTCCTTTATTGGCTTAGCTACAGCAAACTATCATTATCCCCATTCTACACAAGGAAACCGAGGCAGAATGCAGCTACTAAGTCAAGCACCCAAGGGTGCTTAAATTAAAATTAATTAAAACTTCTTAAGTGTTGCTGACATCCAAATATGTTATTTCATTATAGTTTCTTATTTTTAAAAGTATATAAGAATTAAATTATATCATTGTGGTTTGTCAAGAAGGATCAGTTTGTATTTGTGATTAGTAAGGGATTAGATTAATAGATTTTTTTTTTCAGTACTGGAGATTGAACTGAGGGGACTGTGTGTTAAGCAACTTTCCTGGCCCATTTTTATTTTGCGATAGAGTCTAAATCACTAATTTGTCCAGGCTGGGCTCAAATTTGCAGTCTTCCTGTCTTAGCCTCTCTGACTGCCAAGATTAGAGGTGTGTGTCACCTTGCCCAGTTTGGAATTAGCCTCTTTTAACCCCACTTAGCACAGTGAATTAAAAGGGGTTCTGCCCCGGGGAAAAATTATATCATGCTGAGATTTGATGCTATTAGATTATAGAAAAATTGTGGAAGTTTGTTGTAACATAAAAAGCAAAAAGCAAAAGGTTGGCATTTTTGTTAGTCAATGAACTAAAATGCCACATTTCACCTTTCTTCACAGGGTGGAAAGTTTATTCTGAGTTCATGGGTAGCTCTTGTAGGTCTCTGCTCTTCCTGGTTTCTAACAGTGAGGCTGTAAGAAAAAAACAAGATCAGTATGTATTTAAAATGAGTATTTTAAAAAGCATTTTAGATCATTGGGTAAAAAAACTGTTTGTACTTCACTTTTATTTATTTATTTATTTATTGGTACCAGGGATCAAACTCAGGACCTTGCACTTGTGAGGCAGGTGGCGGCACCACTGAGCTAAATCCTCAGCCCTAAAAAAAAATTTAGAACATGATTCTGAGTGCTTTTCTTAAGAAAACCAAAAATATGACAATAAGGTATCTGTGTTTTCAATCACTATAGCAAAATACACAAGATAATTGACTTATAAAGAAAGGTTATTTTGGCTTACAGTTTCTTAGACTTCCAGTCTATGATTGGCTGGCCCCATTGATTTGGCCCTGTGGCAAGGCAGCACATCATAGGAGGGGTGAGTGCGCTGACAAAACTGCTCCTATCACAAGCCAGGGAGCAAAGGGGAGTAGAAAGGAGATGGGGTCCCAACATCTCCACTGAGGGCACACTGCCAATGGCCCAGGAACTGCCTGCTAGGCCTTACCTCTCCCAACTTCCAATAGCGCCACCGAGTGGCCAAGTATTAAACATACAAATCTTCTGGCAATATCCAACATGCAAACTATAGCAGTACTAGAAAAAAAAAAGTTTTTTATAACACTGTAGCCTATAGTAATTGAGATCATAAATTATTATGATTGGCCAACGTGGTGATGCACAACTATCACCCCAGAACTTGGGAGGCTATGGCAGTAGAAACACCATGAGTTCGAGGCCAGCTTCAGTTACACAGTGAGTTCAAGGCCTGTTTGAAGTACATGGTGAGATCCTGTCTCAAAAACAAAACAAAACAAAAACCCCGCTTAATTTCATGAAGAAAATAGTAAAAAAAAAAAAAAAGACTGCCAGTAATGTTTTGGGGTTTCATTTCATTTTCTGAACCTTAAAAACATACATGCTACATTCTTTGTTTCTAGTCAAAATGGAAGTTTTATATATTTGACACATGTAGAAAAACAGAGAAAAATGAATTGAAACCTACTATCATTGAAGAAAACTTGTTTCTTAGATTTTGTACATGTCTCACTGTTTATTCCAAGCATTTTTGTTATTATTATAAATGGAATTTTAGCATTGTACCTCTAAGTGGTTCTTTTTTGTACATATGAAGGCTATGTATTTCTTAATAGTTTTACTGAGCAATCATTCCTATCCCATAAAGTTTACCTTTTGAAGTGTACAATTCAATGGTTTTTCTACTCAAAAGCTTGACCAACCATTGCTACTATCCAGAATATTTTCAGCTACCAAAAGAACCCTATACTTGTTAGCAGTCACTCTTTTCTTTTTTTTTTTTTCAGACAGGGTCTCACTGTGTAGTTGAGACTGACCTGGAACTCACTGTGTAGCCCAGGCTGGTCTCGAACTCACAGAAATCCTCCTGCCTCAGTCTCTCGAGTGCTGGGATTATAAGGTGTGAGCCACCATGCCTGGTTTAGCAGTCACTCTTTATTACCCATATCTCCCCCACTGCATCAGGCCTTGGCAAACACTGATAATCTACTTCTGGTCCCTATAGATTTGACAATTCTGAATCATAAATCATGTGATCTTGTGGGAATGGCATCTTGCTTTTTGGCATAATGTTTCCACAGTTTACTCGTGTTGTGTGTAACATACATCAATACCTCCTTTTCTGGTTGGATTATATTACACTGTGCGTGTACCATGTTATATGATCTTACATTGTTCTACATTTTGTTTATCCATTCATCAGTGGATAAATATTTTTGTTGTTCCCACATTTTGGTTGTATGTACGCTCATGTACAAGTTTGTATGGATATATATTTTCATTTCTCAGGCTTGATGCCTAAGGGTAAAATTGCTGCAGCATATGGTAAATATTTTTAACATTTGGAGGAACTCTCAAACTTTTTCTTAAAGCAGTTGTACCATTTTACACTCCCTCAAGCAATATTAGAGATCTAATTTCTTTATATCCTCGTTAATAGACATTATTGTCTTTTTTATTCTAGCCTCCAAAGTCAGTGTAAAATGTTATCTCATTGTGGTTGGATTTGTATTTATTTTGCTAATGACTAATAATATTAAGCATCTTCAAGTATTTAACTATTGTACATCTTAGAGACATGTCTTTTATTATTTGATTATTTTTAAGATATTTGTCTTTTATTTTTGACATGTAAAGTTTTAAAAATACACTTCAGATACAAGTCCTAAAGACAATTTTAATGTTAATTTATATTCTACTGTATTGAATTCTTTCATGTTTGCTTTGGCTTTAGCAACAAACTCTCAAAAACAAAAACAGTTCTCTTAAATTTTCCAGGCAGACTTTCATCTTCTACAAATAGGGAGAATTTTACCTCTTTTCCCTCCATTCTTAGTCCACTAATTATTTTCTCTTGTTTAGTTGCATTGGCTGATACATAAAATACAACGTTGAACAGTAGGAAAGATTGTGGATATCCTCGTGTTAATCTTGATGTTAGCACTGTTATTCTTTGACTTTAGTATTTCATCAACTTAAAAGTGGCTTTTTTGGTGGGGGGAGGGTGCTAGAGATTGGATTCTGGGCCTCAAACATGCTAAACATATATTTTACCACTAAACTATATCCCTGGACCATAAAACTAGATTTTTATAATTGATAATTTGAGTTTTATCTGGTATTGCAACTATATTAATGCTTTTATTTATTTCATTATGTCTTTCTTAGCATTTCCACTCCGTTTTATAAGTTTTTGAAAGTTTATTTTTAGCACATCCATTTAATGAATTTTCACTGTATATGTGCATACAGCTTTATTTTCCTATAAAGTCAAGATTATTAAAAGTGCAAGAATCCTTTTGACTTGTTTCTTTCATGGTGCTAGGACTAAAAGGTTTCAGTAAATAATGGTTTCTTTAAAATGTAACAAAACAAAGCAAAAAACTTGAGCTGCATTGGGTGTTATCCTCTCTGCATGGGCATTAGCACCGCCTGACTTCCTGGGCTTCTTTTGTGAGCCAAACACATGGCTGCACAGTGGGTATGGAAAAGCAGAGAGAAAAAGGAATCATGAATTTGACACAAGATTCTTAAGAGAACAGGAAGCTATACTGTGAACTAAATAATGCAAAATTTGCTTAAAGCATTGACATTTTTTCCACCTCATCGTGTTAAAGTAGAAATATTTTTAAGAGAAAAAATTCTAGAAAGACTGAAAAACATATTTTTGGTCAAGTTTTGTTTAGCAAGATCAACTGTGACTGCTAACAAAGAAAAGAGAAAATGTCAACTGAAGCCAAGGTGGTGGCTCACCATGCTTTAGAAATAAATGTTCAGCAAAGACCCATCCATGCTTAGGTATATTTTGAGTTATAAGGCAGGAAAAATTTCTTCAACCCTCTATAAATAAAAAAAGTTATTTTCAAAAGAGTAAGAGTCTGTGTGTCTTCTAGTTTATGGCATTAACACCAGAAGGTTGTGGAGAATAATTTTGGGAATGGTGTCAAAGGGCTTAGGGAACATTTGGCCATGCATTTTTTTTTTTTTGAAAATTGACTGCATTATGTATACCTGCTTAGATAAATCTCAAAAGAATGCTGAGAAAAATAAATCAGGGAAAATAAATTGCCTTCCACTGATGGGAAAACTACACATTATTTTTTTGCTTTGAGACAGGGTTTTTTGCTAGGTAGTTCAGGCTGGCTTCATACTCACCATGTAGCCCCGACTGCCTCCAAACTTGTGGCAATCCTCCTGCCTCAGTCTCTCAAGGGCTGGGATTATGGGTGTGTGCCACCATGCCCAGCTTTATATTTTTGCACTAATTACAAATGTCACTAATTTTGAGAGAAAATTGTCTTAAATTTTTCTGTAAGCAAGACTTTAATCATTTGATTTATCCATCTCCAACATGAGATTATTTGCTTACAGCTGGGTTTTACACTTTTTAACACAAAATTAAATGCTAGATATCACATTTGGTCCCTTTTATGTCTATACTGACACTTCTTTTCTGTGATTTCCCTCTCACTTTTTGTTTTCTTGAAGCACTAAGAACCTTTCTTTGTTCTTTTAGGGAGGTCTGTCTTATTTTACCCACACCTCTGAATTATAGTTTGCATTTTCACTTAGAACTTTGAAGACACAATTCTATTGCTTTTTTATAGACACATGATAGGGTCTATGTAAGGGGTGGTGATGTCAAGGAGGTTCTGACTCTCATCTCTTTTACCCTATGGTGTTTACAACTAGTAGGAAGACTCTGCTCTTGGACTTGTCACCACCTGCTGGCCATGACCTTAGCCTCCTGGGCCCTGTCCAAGGGAGTGAGACAGCAGAAATGTCAGCTGGAGTCTCAAAGACACTGTGTCGCTCTTGTATTCTTGTACCTCTCTCAGAAGATCGTCTCTGTTTAGCACTGATGTACAGGCAGAGCGAAAAAAATGAAGGGGCCTTAAAATGATTGGCTGGGTATTTTTCCCACAAAGGGCAGGCCCTGGACATACATATTCTCACAGTTGACCTCCAGAAGCTACCCTGCAGCTTCTTGTTGAGCAGCTTCTTGCTGAGATACTGCGATTCTTATCAGTGCCAGTCTGCTTATCCTTGTGAGAAACCCACCTAACATGTTCCACCTCCTGTCTGAGACCCATCCCGAGCCAGCTTTATGATCCCATCAGTCCTTGGAATGTTCTATTGCTGGGCCCTATCCACCAGGCTGGAATTTCTTGGAAAGTAACAAAAGCCCAAGTCACGCAGGAGAGGAGCAGACCAAACCTTGGCTGTTTAATTCTGAGTTCTAACTTCTCCCCAGGGACTAACTCCAACAGTTCTTTCTCATCACTGTTCGTGATAAGTCTCGATGTTAGGTTTTCTTCTCAACAGGACTGTGAGGTCTCGGCCTACCAGGGATTTAACAGCCTAAAGCAGTGCACCCGTTTGGCTGGCACTAAGCACTTTTCATATCCAGGATTTCAAAGATGCAACCTAATGTGCTTATGATTTCTAGGAGTAAAGTCTATCCATTACTCCACACCTTTGGCAATGATTGTCATGAATGTTTTACATTCAGGTCAGTTAGATCTCTCTCTCCTTCTCTCTCTCTCCCTCTCTTTCTTTGTAAAACAATGATTGTGTATCTTCTTTTACCAGTAAGCTAGCCTATGCTTTTAGATTTTTGTTTCAATTTTAAGCACACATTTCAACATTTGTCTATTAAAGAAACAAAATTAAAATGGAAGCAGCAGAAGATAAAATCTGGGCCTCATAACTCTACACCTTAAGACTCATCTTAGGGCTGGGAGCAGAACACTTACAGGACCCATTTTAAATCCCGCCCGCAACTTTTACATCAGAGCAGTGCCTTTCTAACCAATTATGCAGAGTTTCTGTTCAAATGATAACATGTGATTTACAACAGCCTTACATTGTTCTGTAGTTGTTTAACCTATGCTAGCCCGACTTTTAGTATATGAATATAAATTCCTTAAGAACTTGACAAAGGTAGCTTGTTGCTGTTGGTTAAAAAAATTTTTCGGGGGTGTTACTCAGATGAGGCATATAGTAGTTGCTTTTAAAAATACACTGACTTAATCATAAATGGAACTTTCCAATCAGTACCATATTATTAATTATTATTATTATTATTAATTTTAAAGAGAAAGTCCCAAACCTTACCAGGAACAGCTACAACAGCAGCACCAGCAGAAGCAGCAGGCATTGGAGCCCTGACTCCCCGCTCCGTGCTGGTCCAAGGTGGAGCCCGGAGCCTCCTGTGGGGCCGGTGTCTGTCTCTTTCGCATCTCTGTGCACTCGGATCCCATAGGCTGCCACAGGGAGAGGAAGAAAGAAGGGTGGGCTCAGGGGGTGGTGGTGCAGAGTTATGAAGCCATATGCATAGGGATTTGGCTGGTCAGATGCATTGTAATTATATCCAGGTCATTTTTACTAATTCTGGTAAAAACTGGTGCTTAGACTTACAATCCATTAATTTATCAAAGAGTTATTTAATGGCTAGCATCTGCCAAACAGGGTGATAAATCCCAGGAATAAAGTGGTCAACAGAGCCTCTCACCCTTAGGCATCACAGTTTGGTAGAGACAGACAAAAACAAGCACTGAAGACACTTTAGTAAGATGCCACAATGGGCACATTTTCCTCTTTAAGGTCCCTCTAGACAGAAGCAAAGGGGAGCAGTTGTAGCTCCACAGTTTAATTAGGGCTGCACAGGAGGCCAGGGCACAGACAGCAGAGGAAGCCATGCCAAGAGATCAGCTACACTAACAGAGCTGTCTGAAAAGGTCAGAAGAGTAGGTGGCTCTGTGTGTCTAAGGCCAGACCCATGACATTCAAGTCTTTACCAGTTGTATCGCCTTGAAAAGGAACTCAATGCTGCATCTTTAAAGCGTTTAGGAAACAGCCTGGTTCATAGTAATTGCTCAGCTATTCCCAGGAGCGAAGCACTGAGCTAGACTGTGTCCTGCCCAGATCTGCCCTGCCACCTTAGGGACAATCCTCCTGCCCACCTCAGTGGTAGTCATGCCACGGCACCTGCAAGATCTATGCTCCTCAAGACTTGCCCTTTTCGTTGAGGATGACAAGTCAGTGTGAAGGAGTGAGGCATACCAGGAGCATTAAAAAAAAAAGAAGCAAGCCGGGCGTAGTGGTGCACACCTGTAATCCCAGCACTCAGGAGGCTGAGGCAGGAGGATCGCTGAGAGTTCGAGACCAGCCTGGGCTACACAATGAGTTCCAAGTCAGCCTCAACTATGTAGTGAGACCCTGTCTCAAAAAAAAAGAAGCAGCTAAACCCATTTTTTACTTTTGACAGTATTATTGAATTCTCGGCAGAGTTAACTGTAAGCTAGTATCAAATGTACATTAAAGAACCTTATGTAGGACTCTAATTAAACTCTAGATGTATTATTCTACTCTAAACTTATATTTGTAAATTCTACTGGCTGTGACTAACCCTCTATGCTATTGGACCTTTAGTTATTCTAAACTTCTATTATTATTATTATTATTAATTACTATTATTTTACAGTACCAGGAATTGAACCCAGGGCCTTCACACTGAGCTACATCATCAGCCCTTGTTAAAATTTTTTCAGATAAGTTCTAAGTCACTAAATTGCCCAGACTGAACTCTAATTGGTGCTCCTCCTGCCTTAGCTTCTAAGGGTGCTGGGATTACAGGTGCCACTCAGCACCTTTATTTTTATTTTAAGAGAGGAAGTTTTGCTCTTTTCCTTGCTGCCTCAATCCATTGTTGTCCTACCTCAAGCCTCCTGGGCACCTGCCACTACCTTGTGCACCACCACCTGGCATATTTTGATTTTATTATATTTTTATATTGAGTAGATCAATATAATAATTTGTTTACTCAAAAGTTTTTTGGTTTTTTTTTTTTTTTAGAGGTAGGGAGCTGTTCAAAAGCAATCATATCGGTGTTCTGATTACCATTACATACATTTACAGATTTATTAGTGAGGAATGACATCTGATGACATTTAACCAGCCTGGCATCTGAGTTTCAGGACAGCAACAGAGACCCATAAGAGAGTTTTACCCTTCCTTCCCATTCATAGTGAAGCAATGGTCACAACACCCAGAGACTGTGCACAGCGCCTAGCCTGGCCTGGGCTGGCGAGGCTTCCCAAGCAGGAGTGACTTCCTGGTTAAAATGTGGTGGCACAGACATCTGCCAAAGTCCAGCCATGCTTTATGGCAGCACTGGGATGCAGCTCTGAGGGCAGAAAGAGTTCTGAGACCCTTCCTGCCTGTGGTGTGCAAACCTGGAGCTCCATCCTTCCCAGCTTCACATTTTTAGCTCATCTGAGACATTTCCGTGGAGCCACAGCCCAGCAAACAATTACTTCATTCAAGGACACTGAAGTCCAAGGACAAGGCAGCATAATCTCTGAAGAAAGATATTTTGAACAAAACATGCTCCAGGTAGCTATTGATTTCCAAGAGATGTCGAAGCAACTTGTCTCATTAAAACAGAAACAAAACCAAAACCCAACTGCTTCCCTGAAGATCGTGATTTGTACCGTCCGAGGGTTTCAAGGGACTCTTATTTTAATATCCTTGTTAGCCTCCAGTTTTCACCATCAGTACACGAAGCAGCTGTTCTTTTAAATCTCGTATGCGGAGTGGTAGTATTCTCCAAAAAAGTCTTGCCCATTTTTTGATAGGTTTATACTTGAATATTTAGGTGGATTTTGTTGCTGTCATAAATAACATTTTTGCTTCACTCCCACCTGTTTTTGATTTTTTTTTTTTTTTTGGTACTGGGAATTGAACTCAGGACCATGCACTTGTGAGGCAGGCAGCAGAACCACTGAGCTAAATCCCCAGCCCCAACTTCTGTTTTTAGAATACAGGTAGGTACTAAGACTACAGGAAGATTAAGAATACTATACTGAATTATCCTAGTCTGATAATTTTCTAGTTTGATAATCATACTGTCTGGAAATAATCGTACTTGAATCTATTTCCTGTTCCTTTCCAAGGTGTCAAAATCTGTCCTCTCCAGGGTCTTATTTCATTGGCCAAGAAATTCAGTCACTGTTGAGAAGGATCCAACATTCTGGGAGACTAAGCCAAGAAGATTACAAGTTCATACCCACCATGGGCAACTCAACAATTTAGTGAAACTGTACCTCAAAATAAAAGTAAAACCAAAAGGAGGGGTATGGCTCAGTATAAAGGGCCTGGCTTCAATCCCCAGTACTGCAAAAATAAATGAAATGAATGAATAAATAAAATAAGAAGAAATACTATCAGCTACCTTTGTCTTTGTGTTTTAGTTAATGAGAAGATTTGTAATGCTTGTACAATGCCATATATTGGAGATTTGCTGTATGTTGGAGGTTTCTGGAAGAAGATAACTTTATAATCCCACCAGTACTTAACATATTTTATTTGTTTATACACATCTATTTCTTTGTAAATATCTAAAGAATCTTGGTGATTTAGTGAGCAAACTCTGAGAGGGAATCATAAGGTTACTCAAATAAAAATTCTGCCAAACTCTGTTTTTTTTTTTTGTTTGTTTTTTTTTTTTTAGTACTGGGATCGAACTTGGGTCCCTGTGCTTGTGAAGCAGGTGACAGCACCACTGAGCTAAATCCCCAGCCCTCAAAGTCTGTTCTTACACATTTTTTGGAAACTCCTTTCTTGAGGTCTAATGGACACACAAACCACACACGTATAATGTATAACATTTCATAAGTTTGACATTTACCCGTGAAGCTATCCCCACAACCAAGGTGGTGAACACATCACACAACTGCCCTCTGCACTCCCTGCCCTAAACAGTCACTGATTTGCACTCTATCCATTAGTTTGCATTTTCTTGAATTTGATATAAATAGAATCATTTCAATATCTCCTTTTTTGGTCGTTTCCTTCATTTCGCATACTTTTTTTTGAGATTATTTCATCCATGAACAGCTCATTCTTTTTATTCCTGAGGAGAATTCCTTTGCCTGGATGTACCACATTTGTTTATCCTCCCACCTATTAGTAGATACATTTTTGATTTTTGGTACCGGGGGTCGAACTTGGGACCTTGTGCTTGTGAGGCTGGTGCTGTGCCGCTGAACTAGATTCCTAGCCTTACATTTTTTTTTATATTGGTTAAAAATATTAAATAGATTAGACTCTTAAATATGAAAGCTATCAGATTAAAAGAGACAGCGAGAGAGGTTTCTTACTGAGGTTATCTTCAAATTGATCGCGTGTGTACAGTTGCAACACATTTTGTGGGTTGTTCTACCATGTGGAATAACTTCATAACTACATTCACAGGTATTTCTGTTTAATCAATAGTTGTTAACCATTTTTCTAATTTATAATTCCTCTTCTCTTAGTGTTTTGTGTTTCAGTCCATCTTTGTACAGTTGGGATTTAGCCTCATGATCTGTTTAATTTTACCTTGGGACTGAGGTGTTGAGGTTCTTTCAGGCCTTCAAGACAAAGACCTGTGATGCTCTGCCTGAGGGATAATCGTATATTGAGTGGAACATTGCATGGTAAGGGCACTGTCAAAAACAATGGAGATTCCAGTGGCCAGCAAGTAAGAGAAGGCTAGTAGTTCCATGATGCTAGTAGCAACAAGAAAAATGTCAAATTAGGTTATAGACAACAGACTGGGCAAGGGAAAGAGACAGGCAGAGTCTGGAGGAATCCAGGTGCAGGGTTCCTCAGGTCCCCTTCTCTCATGAGGAAGCACACAGAGCATATGTTCCCTAGCAAAAAAATTCAGCAATATGTATGCACTCTCTCTGCTCATGAAACCCACAAAGCCATGCAGCATCCAAGGTTTTGATGGAGAGCTGGTCACCCAGCCATTCTGGCCAGCATATACCAAAATCTCAGACCTCCAGAAGAAAATCGGGTATTCAGCCTACGTTATATTGATTTTACAACACTCTAGGCAAAGAGAACCACAACTCTCACTTAACTCTTGATTGAGAACAATCTACTAGATCCCAGTCTGCCAGCCAACAGTCAATACTGCAAGCAGGGGTCGAAAGATTCTAAGGATAGCAATCTAAAGCTTGCTATGTATTTTATTTTCAAAACTGGGATAGAAAAATATTTGAAGAAAAAATGGCTATAAGCTTCCCAAATTTGATGAAAATTACTAATCTACATAACTAATAGGTGCAATTAACTTTAAGTAGTATAAATACATGACCTATGACCTGACACACTGCAGTCAAAATGTTGGAAGGCAAAGATAAAATCTTAAATTAGCAAAAGAAAGATGATTCATCTGAACAAGTAAATCCCAAGGATATTAACAGCTAACTTC